AGATACATATATACATATATATACACATGTGTATGTATATAATATACTATTTTTAATACAGCACAGATACAGATGACCCAATCGAAGGATCTTCTTCCACTGATTCGGACACTATACCACGAAAACGTGCACGTGAGATTACATCTGTTAGCAAGGAACGCAGCGAGAAGATTACACGGGCACTAGTTAAATTAATCGCATTTAACCGACTGCTTTTTAGTTTTTCTTCTAGTCCTGTTTTCAAAACATTTATGAAAGAAATCGAGCCTGGATACAAGTGCCCATGCAGCCAAACAGTACTACGCCGTTTACATGCTCTTGAAGATGAAGTAAAAACAAAGATCCAATGCACATGAGATTTGTGCAGATTTATTGCTCTGGACACGGATTGTTGGACTTCTCGATCTCAAGAAAGTTATATGAATGTGAATGCTCACATCGTAAATAACGTATGGGAGCCACAAATATTCACGTTAAGTATGCAAGAACTTAGCGAAAGGCATACGGCGGTAAATTTAGCGGACAGCTTACAAAATGTTGCTGCTGAATGGCAAATTGACACCAAAATTGTATCCATTGTTCATGATAATGCAAGCAACATTGTTCTCGCAGTGAACAGCATGATGAACGTTGGATTCAGTTCTAGTTGTGCAGCACACACGATAAATTTAGCCGTGAGAGATGCGTTGAAGAAAGATAATATTTCCATCGTGCTTGCTAAAGGAAGTAAAATTGTTTCCCATTTTCATCATTCCGTCATTGCTTCACAAGCAAAAAAAACAAGAACAATTAGGCTTACCTCAAACAGAAATTAATCCAAAGTGTTCGTACTCGATGGAATACAGATTTACTTATGGCTGAAAGACTTGTAGAGAATCGTAGTGCTATCACAGCTGTTCTTGGAGATCGAACCGTGACAACTCCTTTGCATGCTAAACATTTAGAAATAAACGAAGATGAATGGAGTATGTTTGAAAATTTAATACCAGTTCTCAAACCACTTGAAATTGCAACTACGGTACTATCCGGAGCTCCAGCATCAATGATACGTCCAGTAATTCAAACTGTGATCGCTAATCATCTTTCTTGTGGAATTGAAGGCGTATCAAAAACGTTAGCAGAGGCGTTATCAATTCGTTTCCAAATGGAGTCACAGGAAAATATATCAGTTCGTCAAAAAGCATCATTTTTAGATCCTCGTCATAAAGATCTCCAGGCTGAACCAATGTTGCAACGGGCCGCGATGGTCCCTTGATAATGTGGAGCAGCATTCTCAAAAAGAAACACTCTGCATTTGATGGATGAACAGTGTATACACATACACGCCCAAGAGCATCTATGGATTTTACTCCTGGATGTCCTTTTACATCAGCTCCTTGTTTGCGTCGCTGGAACTTTTTTTCAGATGTTTTGATTAAAGTATACCTCGTTGCTGCTGATATATCTTCCTAATTGATAATTCTCAACTTCATCAACAATATATCTTCGTTGTTCTAACCCAAAAACTGCCTGATCACTTCCCTTGTTTACACACTTGCAGATGTGCTTGATAGCTTTTACAGACTGGCAAGATTCCACATTTATATGCGCGTGGAACATTTTGGACAACAGTGGAGAGTATGCTACCACCCATCTGTTGTCTATATCCACGTCCTGTTATGTTTGGCCAATGCGCATTTTGATTTTTGTTGTAAATCCACCATCTTCTGGTTTTCTTCTTCTATACAAAGGATACCCATCTTGTCCTGTTTGAGTTTCCTGGAGCAGGTTCCGAGGATATTTCTTTGTGCATTTGCCATCCATCATGCAAGGAGCTTTCCTGTTAAGTGCACTACATGGGCCGTGGAGCATGTTTTTTTTTTTATTACATCAAACAACAAAGAGTCTAGTTGGGGATCTGACAATTCTGCTGATATGACCAATGACCATGTCAATTTCATTTTGTCTGATTTTTTTTCGCAGCCAAATAAGGATATGGAAATGCGGAAGGCCTCTTTTTTGCCATTCGATTGTGTACATCCAGCATTGTGTTTCTCCAAAAATCTCTCCTTTCGTTATGACGTTCATCATTTTTTTTTTTTAGGTTGAAACTCTTGCAATAATGTCGTGCCGATCAACTGCTTTCTCACCTGTCTCTAGATTCTCTTAAGGGGTAAAGCCACTCTAGAATTTTCAAAAAATCGATTTTTTTTCTTAAACGATGCTTTAAAGAAATAAGGTACACTTGGTTTCAAAGCTCGGAAAAATCTCTATTATCTCTTTTTCGTAATCCGTCTGCCGGCGCGTTCGGAGCGCGCTTCGAGCGTCTGAAACTTTAAACGCGTTTTTTTCGAAATCGCTTTTTTAAAGTCGGGCGGAATCAGAACTCGAACATATTTTATCCGATTGACTTGAAATTTTGAGTGAAACTTTACAATAACATTATCTTTAGAAGTACCTAGGGATTTTGCGATAAGTTAAACAAACCTTTTTTTATAAACAATTTTGTGCGACATTTTTTAGCGAAAAATGAAGCACTTTTTTCCAACATGCACCATTCTTACAAAAAATTATATTTCGCAATTCCCCTAGGTACTTCTATAGAAAAACTTATATATTTTTCAAAAATCTTTGAATTTTTGTTCCAGCTCAAAAATTATAGGAACTTCGATTCCGCCCGTTGAACGCCTTCCGCAAAAAGGCACTTTGGAGCAATAGCTCTGACGCCGCCATTTTGGCAATAAATAATTAATAAAAAAATTTTTTTTATACTTTAATATATAGATAATAAATAGAATTAAACCGATTTTTATTTGTGATTATTGTATTTCTGAAAAAAATTATCAAAAATTGGCTTTTTTTGGGAACACTAGAGTGGCGTTACCCCTTAAATTTCTGGCCATAGAGAATTGCACGTAAAGGTCACAAAGAGATCAGGGCGTCCATACTTTCTGACATACGCCATTGCATCCTGCGTATACTCGTGCATCAGTTTAGGGCTGCCAATGTAGGTTGCAGGTAGAATTATCAATCTTCCTAAGTCATTTGGATTGGCATCATTTGCTACGACATCTCTAAGATGAACATAAGTCATCCATGCGAAGTTTCTTTTGGTTCTTCCTGATGTAGAGCAATCGTTCACTCTCAATCTTGGCATACATGTCCACAGCGAACTGATGGAACAGCTGACGACATTTTAACACATGATTTTTATCTCCTACTCGGCTCATGATTCTGTAGGCGTAGAAGTCCATGGCAGAGACCTTTTTTGGATGCTGATTGCCTGTCCTTGGATCAATCTGAGGAATCCCAAAGTAATATCCGTCATTGCCTTGCCAGAAGATAATCGGGTATTGGA